TTATTAAAAATAAAGGAACTTAAATTGCTGAAATCGTACCACAAATGAATTGCATTCGCACGACATTCTTTGATTCGATTTCTTATCTGATTTCCTTATCCTTATTTCCTTATCTCATCCAGAAACTTAAGCATTTTGCTCTCCTTGTTTCATTGAATTATTTCCAGTGCTATTGTTGTTTTATCACTGAAGGTATATTATTGATTTAAGCACCAGTTTTATTTATTAAGAATGGGTTTCCAATTTATCCCAATGAATTGAAACGGATCATTCTGAAAATATTGAAAAATCAGAGATTTAGAAAGGCAGTTTAAGTATTTTAGGAAAATTTGGTTGAAATAAGAATCTAAGATTGAATTAAGCTGAATATTTTTCACTCAAACTTCTTTTGAAAATCCTTAAAAAATTTTTTCCATGAAACTCACAAATTTTTTCAATATCTTCATATGCATCTATTATAAAGTTGCATTCCTAGCAAAAATTTGCATATTTTTAAAATGTTAAAATTGTTAGAAGGTTCAGATTTTGTGTATTTGAATATCTAAATTGATTATTCGATGCGCTAAACCTTGATTAATGGCTATTTTCAGATTTTAGCCATAATTGATCACAGTCATTAATATTCAAACCAGCATCAATATATTATTCACCGATTTAATCACTGCCACAACAACTGTAATTGTTACGTTAAGCCCATTTGACTTTTCATTACATTTGTCTTATTAATACAACAAAAATTCATTACTACATTAAAACGATGGAGAACAGAGAATTTGCATAAGAGCAATTCTGCAGTTCTCTTTTATACACCACTCTTCACCATTATTCATCTTTCCATCAATCATTCGTATGCCTTCATTTAATTACTAAACTTATCACTCAGTCGTTCATAATGTATTCATCCTATATTTTCATTCGGAAATCTCTAATATATATAGTGATAATAAAATAGATGTTTAAATAACGTTAATCTTATAGGGAATAAAGAATTATGATGATTTAAAGTTCTTGATTGACAATAAACTTCTTTCTTACCCAGCAGCGTTTCCTGTTTCTATGCAATTTGTATTAGGATAAGAGCCCATCACCAGTGGTAGAATTATAGATGGGCTCTCAACATGCTGGATTCACTTTCAATTGCCTCCGTCAAGGAATTTGGTCCTACAATTCTGAAACCTCATTCGAAGCAACTCACTCGAATATTTTGTCGCTGATTGATTCATTATTAAAGGCAGATCCGTTTTTTATTTATTCATTCATTTTAATTTGAAAAGGATTCTTTCTTGTTTTTGTTGAAATTAGCTCCAACGAATGAAGCAAATAATAATCAATAAAAAGTACTAAGGTGAAATATTAAAATTGCTGAAGCATTTCTGATACCGTATACAAGCGAATGTCAACATCATCTATAGAGTTTTTATTTGTTCTTCGCGTTGGACAAGAGAATATAGCGAAAATGAAAGATGTTAAAAAAGAAAGAGAGCAATTTTTACTGAGAAATACTGATTGGCGGTTCGTTTTCGGTGGCAAATCACATTAAATATGCAACGCTTGGCACTGATTGAACAAAAAAAATCGCTTCGAATAAAAGATATTTACTGGGCATGAAAGATTAGCGAAATCCAGAAAATAGAGGAAAAAGATGAATACGTCTTTAAATTTAAACATGTGGATTTGACGACTATTTGTTGGTTAGTTGGTCTGTTGATGGCTGCGTACTAAATGGTTTGTAGAATGGCCGTTGGTTAGTTATATAGAATTCTCAGCTCACTAAAAACTATAAGACTACTCTTGTCTGCACAATCGAAATTCCACAACAACTAAGCTAATAGCAGCATAAGCCAGATGAAATAAATCAACACTAAATCAAATTAACCAGCAATATTTCAATGCTTTTTCGAAATTTTGTGAATCGCTTCTTAATTCCCTCCTTTATTTTTTCGTTTAGCCGAATAAAGTATATGCCATTTCTCAATGGATGTTGCACATTGCTCACTTGTTACCGTATAATCTAAGAAAACTTTAAAATTATCCTTTTATATTGCAAATATCTCATGTCTTTTGAAAACAAGAAAAAATAAGATTTGTTTCGATAGATTAAAGAATCAATTTGATAAAAATTGGCTTAGAAACAAAATAAATAAAATTCAAGAAATATGTGTAAATAATATTTGTTTGAAAGCGTTACGGATAACATAAAAAGCAAAAAAAGAGAATAGTAACAATAAATCTATAAAAAAATTCAAAATGAAAATATTTGGCAAGATTAAAGCGAATGAATGGTTGGTTAGATGAACTTGATGTAAATGAATGGCTTATCTGGTTATCATTATTTCAAAAAAGGACGGTTTAATAGGATACGAAGTAAAGAATAAAGAAGAAAAGAATGTACCGAAACTAAAAAAAGTTGTTACTGATTGCTAAAAAAATTTAGAATTATGCTAGTCGGACGAATCGAATTGCTCATTCATTTACAATAGTTTTCCGTTGAGACCATTGAGAGAAGGTAAAATTTAAGAAGAATAAGAGTGAAGTGGTATCAGATTCAAGTTGTATGATATTTCTCCAGCTTTATTCTTTAAGCTATATTTGAATTGCGCCATTTGATAGCGATTTTATAGGTCATGCTATCAGTAATCTACTGGCATATGGTTATCCGTAATAATTGCTGATATCTAGCGATATTTTCCTTATAATGTGGTTAATCCTTTGAGTTTCTTATGTACAAATAATCGACCATTAACTTCCAATGATTTCTGTCAATTTGATATGCTTCTTGACAACACCCATAGCAACTCCTATTAAAGTAATTTCAAGTTTCCTACGCAAAATAATCGCTTTACTGATGCTTTAGGCCTCATTTTGATTATCGCAATTTATAACCCAAAATTAATCGGAACAAAAAATATTGCTCAACAAAATATTTGCGATATGCTTAACACATAAGAAGGCAGGCTATTATGGTAATGAAAATTTCGCCATCTTGATTATATTAAACCATTTACAGAGAAAAGGAAAGAGGGTGACCCGAATTTACGAATTAATTTTTTCATAGAAATGAGTACGAAAAAATGCTCAAACAAACTAATCGAGATCAGGTAAGTTTTTAAGACAAAAATGATGAATCGCGTTGTCGATGTAACTGTGCGAGAAGAAGTTGAGCTAATTGAAAACCGTTTCCGGTAAAAAATTTTGAATCATCTAACGCATAGTTGAGATCCTTCGGAACTAATTGTCCATTAGTGACTAAATTCATTAAAAATATCAAAATAATTGTAAAAAAATTAAGAAATAAATGCAATTAATGGAAAGTTGGAAAAAAAAGATTAATTATAGTAATCACTTGAAACCATGGCGATTCAAGAAAATTTAGTAGCTTTACATCCACTAATTTAAAAGAAATAATGAGCTTTTCAGAATTTCTCTTTGCTTTTCCATAAATTCTCATTCTTATGGAATTTTTTAAAAAATTTAACAATTTTACAATTTTTTTTATATTTTCCTTATTTATTTTTAACCATTGCATAATTTACTTACATTGTGAATCAACTGATGAGCGGCTCCTTTCCGCATTCAATTCAATATTAGGTTGTAATTTTTTCGAAGTTGATTCACTTTGAACTGTTATACTCCTAAAATATTTGCACTGATTAGAATAAAAATTCTTAGTAAGAAAAATAAATGTGCAAAATTGACGTCTTCTTGGCAACTTATGCGGTACCGATTGAAAAGATTTATTGGTAATTTACTAATAATCTCTTCTTTCATTTTGAAAGCAACTGCAATTAATATGAAAGGAGCAATGAACAAAAAGAAGCAAATAATTTTGATTACGATAAATGAGAAAAATATTAAGTTAAATGCGACAAGTTCCAATTATATAAATTGGTTATTGGCCAAAAAGTAATAAAAATATGCAATATTTTTGATAAAACAAATTCGCTTTCCTTTATTTGTTTAATCCCTATCAAAGTTTTTTCTTTTAATCTTTTTTTTTAATGCACCTTATTTGATCTAATAGTTGTCACCATTACTGATTAGGCTGACTCCGCTGCCAACAAGAGTGAGACCTTCCCAAGCGATTCAATCCGATGTCATCGTCGACAGTAATAGAAGCCATTCCTTTTTTCATCGTCGAAGTCCAAATATCGCTGGTCCACCTATACTTCTTTTCTGACTGTCCAGATCTTGATTGGCCCACCTCGCTTTCATGTGAGACTTTATCAGCTCGGCGGACCCATAAAATGTATTTTAAGTACGAGTGGTCAAAAACTGGATAGCTTCCTCTATTCTTATCGGCAAGGTCTTCCAGCCTTATGGCAAGATCGAGTGAATTGCAGTTAAATGGACGTATATGGACGTGGACTTTTCGTCTTCTTTCTGGTGCTGGCTGCATAAAGGTTTGTTCAACCGGAAGAACGCATTTCAAGCTAGTGTTATCGTTATCACGTAAAAACAAAGAATGATTTCAAAAGAATGGTCCACAAGTTGTTGTTTAGATTATCACGGCTTGGTCCATAGAAGATCATAGAAAGGAACTAGAATATTTCTGACAAAAAGTATCAAGGTGGTGAATGATGTGATAAGCTTGCATTATCTCGTATTGTAGACATCTTTTTTAAAATCCATTCGTTATTTTCCTTTAAACAAAGATTTATTTGGAATATAGGGGATATAGGGGATGAGCATGAGTTTCCAAAGAATAAAAGCTTACACAATTTTTTTTTTGCCCTACTCTGTTATTATCATGTCAAAGTAAATGTTTGAAGAAGCAGCCGTCATTTCTCTTCCTTTATAATATCTAATAAACTTTAAAATTAAGTGATTTCCTGCATGGTTAATCAAAATAACAGCATACAGGTCAATCGTATATGTCAATAATGGAAGGTAAACAGCCGATAATCAAGTTTAAAAATAAAAGTGATGATGAATATTAAGTTCAAAGTTTAAAGTTTAATTTTAAAATAATAAATAATAATAAAAATAAATAAAATTAAAAATTACCTTTTTTTACTTAACCGTTCGATTTTCTTTAGTGTTAAATCAAGCGGAGCTTCATCAGCTGATGAACTTGCTTTTGACTTTGGCTGAGAGGATTCTTTCTTCTGCTCTTGGTTTTGGTCTTGATGATGTCGTTGATGAAGTACCATTGTCATTTCAGGAGCAGGGGGAGGTGGAACTAGCTGAGGCGTCATATGGCGCATACCTTTACGCGCCAATTTTTGTTGATAAGCAATTGGACATCCTGAGAGACTCCTATGAGATGTCCGATTACTATTAACATGACCCTTTCCCGTGCATCCTGGAGTCGTGCATCGCAACACCGTATCTTGCTGTAGAGCTAGCACTATAAAATTCTTATTTTAACAGATCAAGCAAGGTTCAGTGGATTCTGTTTCCAATTTAGAACGCCGATGCTTGGATTCTACTTACTGCAGTGATAAATCTGGTCCAGAATAATCGAAGTAATGATAGTAACTTGCATTTCTATCGTTAAATTATATATTACCAAATAGCAAAATTAACATGTTAAATCTGATCAGAAATGGTGAATAATCTTAGAAAAAGAAAAAAGGCAGAATAAAGTCGATGAGATCAAATTTAAAATGGAAGCATTTAAAATATAAATTTAAAGTTGAAAATAAAAAATGTGTGCAATTAACTATTTACTTAGTGAAAAATCAAGATTTCAGTGAGCTGAAAGTATCGGTGTTGCTGCACGTAAAAAATTCAACGGTTCAATAACTATCGTATTTCAATTATAATGTTCCATTCTTCTTCTTTTCCTTCTGACAACACAACATTCTTTCATTCTAACATTCTTTCTAGTTTTCTTACTCCAATATCTACTAGGATGAGGATTTTTCGTCAGAAAGCCTTTTAGAGATAGAAGTGCAGATTAGCTCCACCGTCAAACCGATTTCATTTTTAATGACAAATTTACTTTCGTCAAGAAATAAAAATCGCTGCTGCAAAAGGAATGATATTGATATCGTTTTATCCTTACATTTCTAGCGAAGTTATTCCGAAAATTTTTGCTTCTTATTGAATGACTGACAATTTCGCAATTTTTTCTCGGAAATTTTAAAAAAATCTTTTAAATCGGAGCACAAATGCATTTGAAAAGATGAAATTATTAATTCTAGAAGTAAAATATCTTTCGAACGATCGAAATCTCATATATGAAAAGCAAAAAATAGCATATTCAAGCTTTTTTTTCATGATTCTTAAAAGAGATAATTTTTCACATAATGAATCTCTTCATTATATTTTCTCATAACCAAGAAAAGGCAGTAAATCTGAAAAGAAAGGAAATTCTATGAGAAGATAAATCACTTGTATCCCTGATTCCATTGTCTTGTAAGTTTAGCTACCTATGTTCAAAAGACCCACTTGCGAAAAACTCATAGTTCCCGCCATGTTTTCTTCAAGTACTTCTATATTCGAGAAAAGTTTATTTAGCGGATGAGTAAAGCACCTGTTGCGATGAACAAATGAATATTTCCATGGAGTTAAAAAAGTCATCAATATCCCACCAGCAGCGCTAATGTAGTTGGTTAAAATATTAATACATTAATTAGACATAAGTAATATGAAGTATTTACTTTGTATAGTTGATTTGTCTGGTCTTCGTGGACAGCCTGATAAACTTCTATGATGCGTATATAGACCCGTCTGATGGCCAGAACCGTCACAACCAGGAGTCGGACAAGCAAGTTTGCCACCTTCTAAAATAGCGGTTTCTATTTTGAATAAAAGAAAGGCTAACCAAGATTAAGCCTATATGGAAATATCGTTTTAACTAATGATAACCTGTTTTATTTTTAGAGTACGACGGAATGTTGAGGTTTGCTTTTGTTGATAAAAGTCCATCAGAAACACGTTGTGATGAAACAGGCGACTTTATCATTAACGAAGGTGATGGTGTAGCCTCATGAACCGGACTGTTACTCATCCTACTGCAATTTGTAGTCGAAGGCGATTGAGATTTGGACGAAGAAGCTAAAGTGACGATATCGAACGATTTCGGATTAATTTTTGGCGGTGAAGATAACGACGTTTCGGTTATAGGATTTGGCAAATCTTCTTGGTTACCTATAGCGATGAATCTGACGATGTTTTTCGCTGAAAAAATTCTTATAATGCAGCGAACACAGATGAAATAAAATGCAGCAAAAACATGATGAAATAAAAGATTTTCATCAATTTTATTCTGGAAAAAAATTTTTTGACGGATCAAATAAAATAAATTGACATCTTTTCTAGTGTTTGCCTAATGGAAAATGTGAGAATAATTGAATAAATGAACACATAATTAGGCAATTAATGACAGTCTTTATATTTACTTAGGGCGATTCCAAAGTATACCATTTAAAACTAAAAGATTAATTTATTTTGTACTTTAAACACGAAAAATATCGAATATTGCCTTTCAACCGAATGAACCGACTTTCTGCGAATCAAAGACGTCTATCAAAGTCTATCGAAATTCTACCTCGATATTCCAATATTCTTGTAAATTTTGCCACAATGAACTTCAATTGAAAAATGCGATGTAAGTGGTTGGTTTCGCTCTTTCAGTCAGTGGAACCAGTTATGTTATTAAAAGAAAAAAATGATTGGCTATATATAACGTTGTGAATGCTAAAAGGATAAATTTGAATAAGAAAAAATGAAGATTGGGAAGAACACAAATAAGATCTATTAAAAGAACCAAATTTAATTTTAAATTACTTGAGAAATATTTAAACTGCCTAAAAAAAAGTGGTAGAAAGTTATAGCAAAGGATTCACCAAACACGAATAATAATGATTATAAATGGTGGCTGAATAAGATTACAAATCCTCCACCAAAAATTATGGATTTATCCGCATATATGATTATCGCTTGTCGAAAGCAAATCTATCATTAGAAGTGATCTTGGGGACTCACCTTTAGTTCTATCGTAGTTCAGTTTAAGGGATTTGATCCCGTTAGTCAGTTAATGAGCGACGCGAACTAAGAATAATGATTACTTTTAGATCAATGAAAAAGATTTAAACTATAAACAAAGATTAAAATAATCATAAGTCTCATCATTGTTATAAAAGTCAAAAAATGTTTTAAAAAATGAAATACATAAAAAAAATTATTGCCAATCTAAAAATAAAAATCGTAGGTCAAAAATGTAGCACATTGTAATCTCAGCAAATGTCAAATAATCCTCTACTTTTAATTGCATCTTATACACAGCAGGTAATCATTAAGTCCGGTCCTTAGTTTGAAATAAAAACTAATAAATCCATAAAGAAAGGCCACTCATAGATGAAGGATCCATACTTCAAAGCAAACGGAAATTAAAGATTTTATGGAACATTGCTCATATTTAGAAAAGTACTATGAGTACTATGAATATGAAATAGGTAAAGGCGCTAAATTGTCCTGCCCAAAATGTTAGGAATTTGCATTCTTAGGCACTTCTCTAATAAACGATATCGCTGGAATTGCTTTTTAGCAACTTTCATTTTCATTTTCATTTATTTTCCCGAAAAACACTGAGTAGAATATTAGGTTATGTGTTTGGCTAATGAATAAACAGACGATGAATAGGATTATGCATGAAAAGAAAAGCTGAAGGTTTTCCAGAGACTGGCAAACCACAAGATTACCAAATAACCATTGTGAATATCCTTTTATCGCCTCTATGTGCATAGAGCAATAATTCTCTCCAAAAAAGAATGTTATTAATCCACGAATCCACGAAATGATATTTTAAAATTTTTTAAATTCATGGGATCCTTTTGCTCATCTTCCTTTCAAAATGTTCACCATTTCTAATTTTACTGGCAAAATTGTCTGCTGCGATGGAGACTTATTCATAGAATATTTAGAACAAAACAATTTTAATTTATTAATTTACATTTGCAAAAGACGATTTAGTTGAGGAATAACTATAATAAAATTAATTAATCGCATTAAATAATAAATTTTTTGAAGAAATGTGCTTTCGCAGGATTTTATATCGCAACAAATTATCTATTCAGTGGATGTAAGTCAACGCATAATTTGCAGCAATTTATCAAAGAGGTCAAAGGCATCATATAGACTTTTTGCAATCGAAAGATATGGTTATATATTAGTACAATATATATTTTTTCTCAGGTTTTTTTATTTTTATAAGCGCTCACCATTACTGGTTAGTTTCGTTACAATGTTGGACCAAACAAATTCTGCCAGGAAGTCGTTTGACGATATAGTATAGTACAGGTCAATTGATTATTTCAATTATATAGTCGCTAACACAACAGCTTGATTTTGGAAGGACTAGTTCAACCTCATTTTCGATGCTCTAAATTGAGCACCTGAGAAACAGAACAATCCATTGAATCATTCACCCTTTGCTTTCGCCGTTTGACGACTGCTGCTGCTTGAGAAAGCATCTTGTGAATCGGCTGGATTCGAACCCCAGCCATTCTCGATTTTCAATGACAAATATCTGATAACTAAAAACTGGCACTACATATATTAATATAATTATATCCTAATTCTTTTTGACTTTTAATCTCATCGAAATTTGACCTAAACTTAATAAATAACATTTATATTGAATTTTTTTCTTATTTTTAATTTTGGTGGTGATTTAAATGCTAAAATAATAAATAAAACAGGTCCTCTCGCAGTTTCTGATCACTTTTGTCCACTTACTATGATTAGATTTCTGAAGAATTTAGGCGAAAATATTTTTTTATAAGAATAAGCGGATTTATATAGATACCAGGGAAGGACATATATGAAAAATGGATTAAAAGGATTTTAGACTGCGCTATAAGGATTTTCTGATTCAAATTTTTCTTTGTAATCATGCTTAAGATGAATAAAATAAGAAATATTCTCGAATGACAATATAATAAAATCCATGGTCATATCTACGATAGCCAGTGACCAATTTTTACGAGTATATTTTTACAAATGGTCGTCTCAACAATTTTTTAACTAAAAAATTCCAATTCCAAAGTTCCAAACCATCTCGCTCACTAATGTATGCATACTATTTTTAAAAATGAATGTCTAAATCCATTTAAACTATTATGTATTCAAGCACTATTATGAAAATCAGTTTTTTTGGCCGCTATACAGATTGTTAGAATAAGACAAGAGCGAATTGCGAGCGAATCAAAAATTATGTTCCCATCACTCAGATTTATAATTGATAAAACTTATTGTTACCAGCAATAAGGGGGGAACTATGATGCTTAAAAAGTATTACACCACTCGACCATACCTATTTACCTATAAATCCAATTAATTAGACGCTTGAAAAATCAATTCATTTCTGCTTAAGACCAAATGGTTAAGATGAAAAAACTCTTTTTGCTAGAATTGTTCGAGGATAGAGACTCAGATGGTTTCCACTATTCCAATTTTTTGGTGACAGCAGCCGAGGAAGCAGAATCATTTTCTATCATTTCAAAACTACCTTTTATTATACACTATCCTGCCTCTCTCTATTTAGTTGTTTAACTACAAAAAAATTATCATAAGTTTATGCAGTTTATAGCTTATCTCTTTTCTTAAAGTGTTCAATATTTCTTTTGGCTCATCCTGTTTGATTATTTCAATTATATCTTTTTCTTTTATTGAACGAATTTATATTTTAATATATGCGAATAATTAATGATGAGTTCCGTTTCGAAAATTTTCTGAGCAAGAAAAATTCTTTTTTTTCTTTTTTCTTTCTTTATTTCTATTCAAAACCCCTCTTATTTTGGTAAAAATATGTCGTTTGCTATCCAAAAAAGAGATATTTTTCTTTTACTTCTTTCGGTTCAACCATTTATTTCTCTTGTTTAAATGATGGCATTTCGACAAATTTCAAATTTTTCTCTTATTTTTTTCGTTATTTTATTGAATGTTATTCTATATTAGTAGAGAAATAAATAGAAACAATAAATCGAATTCTAAGAAAAGAAAAAAAATATTTTGGTTTATTCCGATTTTTTTAAAAGTTATTGATAATAAGCGAGTAAGTGGTTAGCGCTAATTTCTGGTTATGTTCGTGTCGCAAACTATTAGTGTGATTAAAAGTTTTTGTCAGGGAGTCGATAGAAATACAGGCGAGTCGCGAGAACCATCGGAATATAAGGAAATATAAGGAAAGACCTAAAGATGGTTATAAATGAATTTAAAAAGCCAACTGATTTAGAAAAAAATCAAATGAAGCAATAATTAAATATTTTATATCAATAAAATCGAAGAGTGGAAATCCAAAAATAAAGTAGTGATCGACAATGAATTAATTTCAAGAAACAAGAAAAGAAATGATCGCCGATAGGTCAATCTTTTGAAGGTCAAGAGAGACAAATGGTCGAAAACAAACTAACCATCTGGCTTCCGTCGACGTTTAACGCTTGAACTAGTCTTTCCTAGTTCTTTTGAATAATTTTCATGTGAAGAAATAGTAAGTAATACTGGAAGTGCAGAAGGCGATTTATTCGTTATCGTCGTTGTTGCTGTTTCTGTTGTTGTCGAAGAAGGATTGATTGCATTATTCGTTAATGATCCAGATGTTAAAGATAAATTTAATAAATCCGAATTGTCAGTTTGATGGTATTCACTTGATAGTATTGATGTTGTTGCTGATGATAAGGAGGATGAGAATTTTGTTTCAATTGGAAAATATGATTTCGAACTTATCTTGGATTTATCTGAACGATCAAACTTTTGTTCACCAATTAGCGTTGAACTTGTGATTGGTGTCTGTAAAATATGTTCGCTAAAATCCGATGAATTCGTTTCATGATGACTTATAATATTCATTGTTTCTGGACTATTTAAAGATTTACACAAAAAATCCGATGTTGCCATCATTTAGAAATAATAAAAAATATATTTTAAGTATTAAGGAAGTAGAAGGAAAGGAAGATAGAAGATAAGTTTTCGAACTGAACGAACAATATAAGTAAGTCAGTAGTAGTCTGCCAAGATATTATAGATGTTGAACATTAAAAAATTTAGAGGGCGTGCTAATATTTCAAGGCGGAGTTCTTCTCTCTTCCTATACTTCCTATTTTCCTTGTTTGCCACATCTAATTCAGCTTAATTTCTTTTCTCTCACCCATTACTACTATTACTCTTACTTCGTCGGTACCGTAATAAAATATAAACCACCTGCTTTCCTATATATATTAGTCATATATCACTTCATTGCTACTGTAATTTTGAACGCCGGCCATTAAAAAATAATTTTTATTTCTGTTGCAAACTTTTTAACTTAATGAGTTAAACTTTTATAAACTTATACTTAGTAAGTAAGCAAGTAGTTATCACATATTTCTGGTTATGCTCGCTTCGCTGGCTGTTATAAAGTTAATTTTTAATCAAGAAATCATTTGTTGGTAGAATACAGGTGGCTCGCTTAAATCACGCTTGCGAGAGAAAATCAAACCTCTGGTGCTCGAATTATTGCACCACTCGACTAGCCTTGCTTTCATTTTATTTAATTAATATTAGAAATTTTCAAGGAATTCAAACAAAATTCAAAAATTAAAATTATAACCTAAATTATTGAAATTTTGGGACTTTGAAAATCTTTGAGAAATGTTTTATTTACTTTTACTTTACGCTTTACTTTTGAAGATAAATTAGTTTTACTTCAATGAATAGACTAGAAAAGCTGAATAGTTATTATTTAGATTCTCATATCAATTATCTTCGCTCGACTTTGCAGGAATAACCTTGCAATTAAAAACCTGACGCATTGGAGCCCATATCTGCCTCTTCTACATGCCCTCGTCCTCTTAATTTTCTTAACATAACTAGAAATATAAATGCAGTTGAATAATCTAATAAATCTATGCAATAGAAAAATGAATATTGAAAAATGATAATTTAAGAATTTAAGAAATAGAAATAAACAATTTTAATTAAGAAATAAACAATTTTTCTTCGAAAATTTTGATTTAGAAAAAAATGGAATAAACATGTGGGATTGGTAAAGATCGCAGTTTATGCTCATTAATTCTCATTTTCATTAAAACTTCATTTTCATAAAAATGAATATTTATAAAGTTCTTTCAAGTAAATTTACAAATAAATCGGCATTTCATCATCTCCTAGGTTACATAGATTGGAAGTCGATGAATTTATCGTTTTCCAGAAAAAAAATGCAAGAAATAACAAGAATTTTTTAATAGTTATTTTTAAGATTCAACAAAATTATAATATTATAACCAATTATAATATAATTCGAAGATTGAAAAATAACAAGAAATAAAATAGTGATAATTTTTTAGGAAGACAATTTTGCTTATGAATATAGTACCAAATTGGCCTTTTTTACGGCAAAAGCAAACATGCTAAGGAGCAATCTGTGCCTTTAATCACAAATAACTCTCTGACAAAATTGGCTATTTTGAATGAAACAAGTGGATAGAACTATGGATTTTTTTGAAATAATCCTTTTTCTTATAAAGTTTTTATTCTTTAAGCATCGAATGTAACTTATGTTCTTGAAAAGGTTCAAGACGATTATTTTCGGAAGCAAACATTAAAATTCTCCATCAGAAACTAAAACTAAATCCTACTCGAGATCGATTCGGCAATTAATCGCACAATTAGTAAATTTGAATGTGCCACGGTGATAGACAATACAATATGCAAAGTTAATTAATGTAAGATGGTTCTACATTGTTGAATCGTACACCTCGTGATAAAGAATTTATATATACTGCATATACTGCTTCAGCATTAAAAAATCAAGGTAATGCTGGCGATTTCCGTATAGTTCTCCTCCACAGTGTCTCTGGCTGAAATATCGTCCTATAATACGTAGGTAATTATATGATCCTGCTAACAGCCGTTAAAACCAGCCGAATCAAAAATAATCGAAATACGGTACTTCAACAAAAGAAGGTTTAGCGAATTAATTTCAAGCAAAAAATTTACGGCTAAGATTCAACCGGCATTTAGATTCAATTAATGAAAAAGTCAGGCAAGCAAGTCATGGAACTAAGAAAATTTACCTTTTCTTCAGGAGAAATGACGAAATTGCGAAATAATTCAGTAGAATTAGATCTTAGGGATTCATCAATAAATCTGTAAGGTGTTGAAAATATTAAAAAACCAATATTTTATTCATTAATAAAAGCTTAAGAAATGAAAAATTTATCATTTTATATTTATTCACTGCGAAGACATAGATCAGTTCAGAAGAATAGACCATTTATGAGATAGAGAAACATACAATAACTTTTTTATTCCATTTAATTAAATATAAATATATAAAAATATCAAAATTATTTTAATAGTTCTTATGTAAATTTTTTTATCACTCACGTTAATAGTCAAGTCTTTTAAATACCGAATGCCGAAAGACATCTTTATCTATTGAAATTGGATATCGATGAAAAAATTCCGTATTTTGGAATTCTGGAATTTTAGTCGCCATATTTATTATTATTCCACGCGTCTTAACATCGTATGATTTCTAGAAATTATTGACATATTTATATTTTTTGCACTAGAAAGGAAAGCAATTATAGGCTACCACATAAAGTCGAAATAGATTTGTTTGAAATAACTTTTCTTTGTCCAGCGTGTAATCATTATTGCAAAAAAAATTTATCCATAAAAATCGGTTAAAGTACAGCAAAAATAACAATGTTCGAGTGTAAAATTTTCCAGTTTGTTTTTCTGAATTTCACAAAAAATTCCAAAAATTATTTAGAAAATGATTACTTTAAATTACTTAAAAGCCTTACCATTATATAAGAAAGTGTTTTTTTTATAGTCGAAATTCGTGAATCAATTAAATTCAATGTTCTATTCTTTTCTTGAACTTGAAAAAAAAGGATATTTAGTTGTTCATTGTTTCGCCGCGTGCATACTCATATCGAAACAGATGGTGAGAGATACTGCCATTTAAAATAAATGAAAGGACATGAAACCATTCGAAATGCCCATTAATGGCCATTTTGAAAAAGGATTAATTTGATCGACTAAACTCGGCTAGCCTTTCGATAGCGATCAAATCCAAAATTAACTTGACCAATTTATTATGTATAAAGATTGAATTAAATATGGCACTTGTCCTGAAATTTTTGAAATACTATGGTGAATATATGAAATACATGAATCCAAGATTTTTTCCTAGTTGCTAGTTCCATTAAAGCGAGAGCAGAAATAAGAAGACTTATTGGCTCAAAAAATTTCAAAAAAATAAAGCCGTTGATGAGATTTTTCCCAAATTTATATTATTTGTATTTGTATATAAAAACGATAATATGTAAGCTCAAATATCAGTGAGAAATTAGAAATTAAAATAAAAATCAAAATAAAACTCTATCTATATCTCTATCGCCTGTTTCAATTATATAAACCAAAAGTTAATTTATCACCATTTGCTTCGGTTAACTTCGCTGGTTATTAGAAATTTTGCCAAGAAATTAATAATACCAATGAACCGCCAGCATTATCCGCATTTGATGCTTGCAAGGGGCAGGTATTTCACTCTTGCAACCCAATTCAATTCAATGCTTTTGCTTATCATCCACTCGATTGTCATTTAGATCTTAAATTTTCCTATGGAAACTGACCTATTTTTATATGATTTCTCTTTGCTCTACTTATAATTAGCCGGTACTGATCGCATAATGCCCTTCTGCGAAAATCCGTTTGGAAATGGAAATGCAGATGAGACATCTAAGCGAGATAAGCACTCGATTTTTTCGCTGTTTAGATATATTAGGCTCTGTTTTCATGAATATAGTTTAATTGATGAGCAACGGACGAAGCCACTTTTTGCATATTTTTAATTTTAAATATTTTGCAACATTTTGCAATAAATATTTTTTTCCCAAAATTTTTTTGGCTATACTAGAGTTCCATTATATTTCTTCGATGTACTGCGCAGATTTTATTTCCGATGCCTGATGAGATCAGTCATAATCGAGTATTTTAATTTGGACCTAACTTGCCAGTAAAATATTCCCTGGACAATGAGATCTGCTCCCAAATTACTTTTAATAGTTTATGGAACAAGTCTAGCTAGAAATGATGAGTGTTAACCATTATTTACTCACTCTTGAAAGTTTCAGAACATAGTACCGTGTTCCATTCTCCCTTATATTTAAGAATAGAATAAGACGAGAACTACGTTTCCTAGTGCCTCATTCCTACTTTATTTCTACTTTCTACTTTACTGTTTTATTTTCACTTAAAAAAATTCTAAACTTCGACTCTTAAATTTTCCTTTTTGGTTAAACTTTTTATTAATTCATAGTAATGGTATTTTTGATATAAAACTCAATCAAATCTTTCATCGTATCGTGCAGAGTTTTAAAAAATGAAAATATTTAAGCAAAAATTGCGAAATAAATAAATTCCACTCCCATCTCCTCACAGTTGCCGAAACAAATGATCTGAAAATTTATGCTTTCACAGCATTTGCAGTGAACTGGCAATATTCTCTAATATTACTCAGTTGCTAAGTTGGATCGTTTACTAAGTCGTTGGAAGGCAATGGTCGAAATGATGAATTTTAAATACTTAAATACCTTCCAGTACTTTTTCTCACGATTTTTCTCCATTTGCATGAAGCATCTTTGTCTAATTTTATGTTTATTTCTCTCATATAAGTTCAGTTAATAAGCATGTATGATAATAATTTAAATACAATTTTATTTTAATCACAAATTTATAAATTATTATATTGAAAAATCGCCAACTTCAAAGAGATGAAATGAAACTTATGGGATATAAGTTCCATGGCTTGCAGATTAGGTTAAAAATAAATTTCCTTTGAAATTTCCGCTAATCCTGATAGTTGACATGGATCATATTCTGAAGTAACGAATTTAGTAACAAAT